GTCGCTGGGCGAAACTGGGCGACATTGGGCGACATTGGGCGACATTAGGCGACATTGGACAAAACTGAACAGTAATATCCAGATAACGTCAAATATTATAATTCACAAATTATGCATCTACATAGAAAATACAACAGTAAATATCAAAATATAATTTAGTTATCAAAAATTGGTTCCTGTGGCAAAGAACACAATTAGTTTATTACAAATAGCAAAAATAACAAGGAACATTTATCTAACTGCTAGCCTGACAATTTACTCAAAGTTTATACCGTAGTACACATACATGCCCAGTGCATGGTACATTTACAGTATCATGGAACTCTGACTTCTCATTAAATTGACTGGTGTAAACACCTCATAGAGTTTTAAAACCTGTTTATGGACTGTGGTATGCAGTGATGGAAGTGAAAGAATTGGCATTTAAGGTAAATAAATTGTCAGCTAGCTAGCTATCATAAACGTGTACCATGTAAATCATGTACCACCATGACCATGCTTGAAATCTAACCCACCAAACTGGCAAACAAATATCTCAAATAGTGATAACTGTCATAACTATAAATCTTATAGTTTCAATAAAAAATAGAATTTACTTTCAAAGCAAACAGATAGAAAAAAGTTTAATCCATATACATTTGTATAAATATACTGACTTACTTTACCAAAATTAGATGACAGTTCCTTTACTTTAACTGAACTAATAAATAATTAAATTCCTTTTATCCAAAACCTCAGAGACCTGTTCTTGTTCGGCTGGGATTTGAGCCCGCAATACCATGGCATGTCTGGTTTAGCTACTAACTTGTACTACTTCGTGTAAGGAAACATAATAATTGATTATGGTGGGCCTTGGCGACATTTTATAACAACCTGTACCGTAGATCTTTCTGTGGTGCGTTCATTGCTCTGTATCTTTTGCGATGATACCTAATTATGAGATGTCGATTATCGTAGCTTCGTCGAAAAGTAAGTACTTTTATTTTACAAACTACAAAGTCGTATTTTGAACATACTATAGATGACTTTCTTTATTTATAGATAGGACTATTCCATATACAGTAACATGTACCGGTGGTAACCCCCCTATCGAGTTCAAGGTTTTACTATATGTACCCCTGAAAAATTCCTACTGTAACAAAGTATGTCTCATGATGGTTTCCTGTTAATAGCAGTTACCACTTAAAAAATAATTCAGCATTTACCTATAGAATTTGCCTTTGACCCCTGATGAAATCTCATTGAAAATACCCAACACCTGCAGAATTCCATAGCCAGGATAATTTGTTTACTTCTGAGAAATTCCTGGGCCAAAAAGCAACTTACCCGAGATGAATTCCAAGTTCATTGATATAATGCCTCATAGAGACTCAAAAAGGATCGTGCACTGATTTATACTATATCTTATATATCCCCGGGCGTTCTCACACGCTCCCGTGCGCTTCAGGGCGTCCCCGGGCACTCCTGGGCGTCCCCGGGCGCTCCGGGCAGTATTTAGTACTTGTGACCGATTATATATATATATATATATATATATATATATATATATATATATATATATATATATATATATATATATATATATATATATATATATATATAAATATATATATATATATATATATATATATTTATATATATATATATAAATATATATATATATATATATATTATATATATATATATATATATATATATATATAACGGTACCGACGGTACCGTTCGGCCTTTAGGATACCTAGTGTCCTTCACTAGGCTAGTGAGAGGTATTCTGTACTTTTGCACTCGCCAGTTATCATGAATGTATCTTTGATAATAAGATCTAAGTTTGATTTCATATACAACATTTAATGGCGTGTGATTGTCTAATTTGACTGAGTTTCACAAAGAAACACATTGGAGAAGATGGCCAGAAGGCTGCCTTAACAACATAATTTAGGTAATTCTCATTGGAATAATGTGTTGTAATTCATATACATATAAACGCCAAATAACCAAGCCTCATTAATACTGGTGAGAGATGGTGCCCTAACAGCACATGCCCTTGGTGTTTGTGTACATGTATTTAGGAAAAAAACATGCAAGAAACTAACAAATAAATAAGGAATAGACTAGTATGGACGACAAACTCAAAGTGCAAAATTGGGCATGCTTGTGTGAGATTATGCGACATTAGGCGAAATTAGGTGACATTAAGCAAATAGACTGTCAGGCAAAGTTAAAAAATTGGGTGCACATGGGCGAAAGTGGGCGAAATCAGGCGAAATTAGGCGACCTTGGCCCCCAAAGTAGGCCTAGTAAACAACGTTAACAATTGTGTTTTGTCCACGATTTTTTGTCATGTTGAAGTGATTTTGAAGTGATTTTGATCAGCAGACATATTTTACATCTTGGCCATTTAATCTTGGTCGCTCGGACGTAGGCCTATATGTTTAGCGCATTAGTCGAAAATGTTTCGTCCAAACTTTGCACTTTTCAGGTCAGATTTTGAGCGTTTCTTGATTTTCATTTGAAAAGATCACTATTTTGTGGCACAATTCAATGTGAGTTATATTAAAACTAGGCGTAACCACAGGTTAAAAAGTGCGACCTGGAGACTTTAGTCACCAATGACAACGCGCCGGCTCACGCTGTTTTGGCCAGATAGTTGGTGATCAGCCTTTACTTTTGCCAAAAGTCGGTCGGTCGGTCGGTCGGTCGGTCGGGGTTTTTTATTTTTTATATAACGATTTGCGTCAAAAAAACATGCTGCACATGACAAGGTACTTTATTTCATATTGTCTATTGATATATTCAAAATAAAAAACAGTAACAACTTTTCAAGTTTATGCAAAGGAGTGGCAATAATATATGGGCCAATATCGCTCATTATATAATAAAAGTCGGCCCATTTACACTGAATATCCAATTTAGATAAATTTATCAAAATATTAACTTGACTGATTGGTATCCAATTACGTCACTTGCTACAAATTACATAACAAATAGTAATACATTTGTGATTATATTGTCGCTACGGCGCAAAGTCGCCTTCTATGAATAGCATGACGTGTCAATAACAATACCGATTGACAAAGCGCAATTTAAAGATAAATATTAAAGCCCGGCACATGACTTTCAAACAACAGACGTTTCTTTGTATACATCACAACATCCTCATGCACAGCATTTAATCTTTTTGATTATTTAAATCTGTCTTCAATAACAGACTTACAACAGTTAATAGATGCTAAGTTAAGCTTCATTTGATGTACAATTTGATGAACAAAAGTTAAAGGTACATGTATAAAATTGCATCAGTATCGATGAGTAAATAAAACACTGGGCGGCATAACAGCGGCGGAAATACCGTTCTATGCGGTCTTCCAAATATGGAAATATGTTCCAAATATGGAATGCAAGCCGAGGTGAATCGGTGAATCTTGAGCCGGGGCTAATCCGAACTCAGCGGTATATTTAAATTTTCTACGCACATACACAGATTAGGATGCTCCCAGCTCGCTCGCTCGTGCTCGCTCGCTGGTCGCAATTATATTAAGTAATTTCTTCATGCAAACACTTTACTATTAAATTCTGCGATAAAATATGTATATGTTATTTACCAGATTGGAGATCCGTATAGAGAATATTTCTCGAGGTCTTAAAAAGGTCTTTTCTCGAGGCCGAAGGTCGAGGGACGTTTTTAAGACCAAGGGAAATATTTCTCTATACGGACCGACCATACTGGTAAAAATAATTTTTTTAATTCCCCCTCTGAAATTGCCCAACCTCCCCTCCAGCTCCCGCACGCGAATGAAACTGCCAAATAAAACGTCGTTTCTGTATCAATGCTAAGAAGAGTAATATCTTCTGTGGGATAGTAAAATTTACTTTCACTGTGTTCTTCATCGTCGGCAGACATTATAATGTTTCGAAAAGTAGCCTTTATACTCGCTCTACGGTTTTAAATCTCGCGCGGTCAGTACGGGCTCATACGAACCGTTCGAGTAGTCAATCAGATTGCAGAAAAGCGTAAAATATGATTTCAGACCGCAAGAAAAAACAATACAATATATTTGCTGTACATTATAAAAACTGCGACGATGCTTTCGACGTTAACAAAACGTCATATTAATATTTTATTTTAAAAAAATTGTTTGGTTTTACAACTTTATTAAAAAAGTATAAAAAGAAGCAAATGTCATGTTACCATGGAAACGTCGAAATGCTTCATGTTTGGAAATATACCGGTAGTTGTTTGGTTAGCAAATAGGAGCGGTCTCTGCATGCATGTATTTTGATCCCCTCCTAACTCAAGATCCTTTTTCTCTAAATATAAGCAAAACATTGGAAGAAAAATGAAATTTAGAAGTGAGGTTTAATACTCCAGTAAGTGAACCTTACTTTGTGAATCTTATGTCATTTCTGTTTTTGTCTTTTTAAAAATGTTAATTAATTAAACACTTTGTTGTAAATTTCCTAGATTTTAAAATTTTCCCAGTGGATAGCATATCCCAGACCCTATTGGTGTGAGTTGTGGTATTTACAAAAACATGCCATGCAAGTACTTAACTGAAGATTTACAGTATAATGCAACAATTTACAGTGTAATGCAAAATACGAAAAGAGGCCCCCTATTACATACTACACCACACCCAATTTTTCTCACCAACAATCATCTGCGATCACTCCATACTCAGTATAATATTGTATCTTTGTGCAGATGCCTACCCCCTGCCTCTTCTTAAAAAAAGGCTATGCGCACAAATGAACAATGAATTGTACAACCGGTTTACCTCACTGGAAAAAAATTGAAAATCCATAGAATGGAAATTGTATGGATCTTTATTGGAAATGGAATGGATTTTTGAAGACCATAATAATTGTATATTTCCATACTGTGGATTAGTATATATCGACATAGTATGGATATACTATGGATTTAGTGGTGCAATTGCAAATGTCATAGTATGGATTTCACATTTTTTTCTCAGTGCCTGTTCAGATCAGTAATTACTCACCTCTTCGTATATCTTCCATTTATTTTCCAGAGTATGACCTCGCAATTGTCCCACAGTACTCTCGCGAAGAGAATTGTCAAGAACAAATAATTCGGATTCTCTAAGTTTCTTGCGTTTGTGCGTCTCCGCAGATAACTCGTCTTTCATATTTGCAACCACTTTAGACAATGCCATTTTTCTGTAAACTGCAACAAAAATTTTCTTTAGCAAACCGTGGTAAACGTTTTTAGATAGTCGTAGACGTATGTACGCAAAGCATTCCAAATTTTGGTAAGCGAGGAAAATTATTCCTATTACCTGCGGTTAATGTGTTGTATATACAGTGGCGTAGCCAGACCTTCATTTTTTTTTTGGGGGGGGGGCGAAGCGAACGCCGAAGGCGCGAGACCATCTATGGAGGTCCGGGGGCATGCACCCCCGTGAAAATTATGAAATTTAGAGTCCCTGAAATGTGATTTCAAGCATTTTGGGGGTGAAATCTTGCAGAATTCCGAAGATTACAAAGTACGCTCTAGGGGGGTTCGGGCGCATGCACCCCAGGGAAAATTTTAAAATTTAGAATCCCTGAAATGTGATTTCAAGCATTTTGTAGTACGTCGAAGACATAAATTTTCCCAGACATTCCTAAGTTTCTACTCGCTTTTATATATGATACAGAATAAGTCTGAGAAGAATATTCATGTTATCATAATGTATATACATTTAAATCTAAACTAAATCTATTCCTCTTGGAACCATATCTACAACTGTTTTAACGAGATTTTAGAAATCAAGCTCTTCCAGTATTTCGTCGTTTTCCTCAATCGAGACGTACTTAATCCGTTTCAGCTTCGAGGATGTAACTTGTACCCCATTTCTCTGCAGTTTAGCCTTTTCCAGAGAATAGTTTTTTTGCGATTGGGGGCGACCGCCCTTACCCGCGAAACGCCCCTGTGTATATAGGTCAAGAAGCTAGAGTTAAATTCAATGTCTTCTCAAGGACATAATATGGTGGTCTTCGATCCACTCAAAATGTCGATTTTTTTCACTTTTTTGAAAGAAGCAAATTGTCATGCCTATTTATTATATTTTCATGTTGTGATGTATTTCTTCATTGAATAGGAGAAAAATGGGAAATACTGAACAAATGTACCATTTTTTTCCTTAGCAACCACCTTAGCAACGAATAGTTTACTGTGAATCTTACCGATTGGTTTTGAAAAATATAACAATTATTTACCCACCCCTCCCTGATTTCGTTTTGTCAGAACCATCAAGGACATTTAATACATGTTTACATGAAGTATTTCGTTTGGAAAAGTGGCTTTATAAACTGATTTAAACAGCAAAACTTTAAGCGAAGCATTTCCTCATTTGCAATTTAAATTTTCGCATCAATACTGTTTGTTTGGTGTTAAAAGTTGGTTTGAGACGTGCTCGATCTGGTTATTCAAAAAAGCGAAAATTATGTGGTAATCAGCACACACATCAAAGAAACGGGGTCGAGGACTGCGGTGAATCATGTCGGCCATAATGAACAGCCTAAACGAAAACGACTCTAGGAAAATAAATCCTTCAAAGCGACTAAAGGCTGCTGATGACTGAATATCTACGGGTACACCAATCGTAAGTAGGATTCGGTTTGTTGATATGACAAGAGCACTGCTAAAATATGGAACCATAAAAATATGAAACAAACAAACTCATTAAAATATGAAACAATCTCCCAAAGGATATTAAGACGAAACCTAGCGTTAATTCCTTTAAGTTTGCCCTTAAAAAATACTTCTTAGAATCTTATAAGGGCACCGATCGCTTTGAATTACTATTGTGACCAGCAAGTTGTACTGTATATAATTTGTATATATAAATTTATAATCCTAAGATCTTTTACATATTTACTCTAAGTAGCTTTTAGACGTTTTAAAGTAGAATTAATAACTTTGTATATGTATTGTATATGAGGGCCGCAGGTTTTTCAGTTATATTGCTGTCATGTGTTTTTACCATCTATAAATAAAGTTGTTCATTCATTCAAAGGCTGTGAAAGAGGTTTCGTCGGAAACAATGATCAGTGCTGCTACAAAGCTTCATGATCATAGGCGTACCGGGCGGGGGGACGGGGCGGGGGGGGGCGGTTTGTTGAGCAGTCGGGCAAAATTCGATCAACAGTCGGGCAATTTTGGTTTGTAATAAAAATAAATGGGACAAATTCTGTCAATTTAGTCGGAAATTCAGCCGGCAAAAAAAATTCGGTACTAGTCGGGCAAAATCAGGAAAAGTCGGGCAAATTTCTTTCAGCCCCCCTAATTTTTTCCTTCCGGTACGCCAATGTTCATGATTTAAAACCAGAGTCCAAAGATGGGCTGGTCAAATGTGGGATATCTTGTAATGGCACTTGGCAATTAAAGAAGAGGATTTGCCTCTCTGAATGGCTGTGTAAGCGTTATCAGCATTGATACGGGAAAGGTGCTTGATGTTGAGGCACTTAGCAAAGTGTGTAAAAAATGTAAACTAAAAACACCCCTCCCCCCAAAAAAAAATGCTACATGGAGGAAAGATCATCAAGATACGTGCAAGGCTAATCACCACAACAGCCACGGAACCTGAGGGAGCATCTAGAATGTTTAAACGTTCAATAGAAAGCCTTAAGTTAGTATATGATGAGTATTTTGGTGACAAAGACAGCAAAAGCTTTGAGACTGTAAAGGATACAAAGATCATGGGCTTATTGTTGAGAAAAAGGAATGTGTGGGTCATGTTCAGAAGCGATTGGGAACTGCATGTTTTACGAAAACTAAAGAAAGAAAACAAGGATTTAGGGGGGAGAGGGAAATTAACAGATAAAATGATAGACAGACTAAAAAATTATTACGGTATTGCAATACGAAGTAAATCTGGCAATTTGGAGGGAATGAAGAAATAAGCTATTTATGCTTGCTTGTTTCATTGAGCATCAACAGAGAAACGAACACTACATCCTCATTGCCCAGAAGGTCAGGACAGTTGATGCGGTTACAAGGCAAATAAAACGAATAAATACAAACATGGAGCTGGCATGACTGTGGAAATTGCGGTGCAATTAAAAAGCAACATTTGACAGGCCAAGTGATAATGGCCTTTTGCCAAGATGTTTAGATGGCAAGATTCAAAATCAGAATGAGTCTTTAAATGAATGATTTGGGAACAGTTACCAAAACAAACATTTGTCGAGTGTACTGCAACTTGGAGTACATGATGCTATTGCCCACTTCAATATTGGATGTGAAGCTTTTATTCAAGTTCTGAAGAGCATTGGCATTAATCCTGGAATATATTGCAAAGCTGAATGTTCTCGATATGATAACCCTAGGTTGAAAAAAGCGGACTATAAAGAACAAGATAATATAAAATTGCGGAGAAAAGTTCTACGTGGGAGGAAGAAGAAGAAGGGGGACCAAGATCAAGAAAAAGAGGGAGAAACTAATGCATGTGACTCATTTTAGATTGCAGCAACATTTTTGCTGAGAATGAGCTTCAATTATGAGGGATATAAGTGAGCCCACATATTATCTTAAAATTCGAAATTTGATTTATAATTGTTCCAATTCAGAAATTTGGCCACCCCGTAGTGTTCTGAAAAGGATATCTCAAGAAATACTTGTAGTAATTAGTTGAAACTTTCACACATGCTTGCTCTGAAATTGCTTTGTGTTCTGAACCAACAAAAATGACGAAAGTCCTATAATTGTAGTAAATCACATATATTTTTACTTGTAATAAAATATATGAGTATTTGTGTGGTTCAGAAAATAGAGCAACCTTTCCTGTACACTTTAAGCCTTCTTTTGAGAATTTTAGACCACTTGTTCTTAAGTAGCCTACGTAGCAGGCGGTAGAAGCTAGAAATACCGCCTGCCCAAAAACTACACATTTTGAGTTCCGCCCACCGCATGGTCCCGCCCATCTTACAGTAATGTATTTATTTTAATTAATGGTCAAACTCACGTATTTACACCAGTGCAAATATACGGCTTTGACGTTTCACATCTTCGGTTCATTCAATGCTACGAAGACAAAAATACCACGTTCGATTCAGTGTAACAATATGTCCTCATTCACAGCGATAGTTTTAGTCGATGTCAACATTATATATAGCGATTTATGAGCTTTGAAAGTCAAGCGAGTTCGTGTATTATCAAATTACGCAATTGTCTGAACAAAAATATAGACTAGCCATATCTTTCGCCGAACACAACTTCGGCCCCTTCAAACGTAACTTTGTAATAGGCTTGTTCCAATCGCTATCAAAAACACGACTTAGAATGTCATTTACGAGCCTGTATCTTCAAATCTGCACTTTTATCACGGTATCAAATCTTCAAGCAACAAATGTTGGATTGATATTCGTTGTTCATTCTTCAAGACGAAGCGATTTCCGATTCCAGATAAAGATTAAAGAATTCAACGCTTAATTCTCAATTAATACATTCGTTATCTTTTGGTTAGTGTATGCCATCACTCGATATATCGGTACAATTACGAAAATAACAATAGTTTATATTATAAATACGGCAACAGTAACTTCTAAAATTAGCACTAATTATTCTAATTCTGTACTCCTGTCAATCAAAAATTTAAAATCAACATTCTGACCAATCAGATACCGCCTGCTACGCAGGCTACCAATCAGAATGCTCCGGCACCCAGCTGCCGGGGAGAACTCAGAATGTGTAGTTTTTGGGCAGGCGGTATTTCAAGCTTCCCATTCTCTCGTGCCCGCGAATACCGCCTGCTACGCAGGCTATTTTGAGTGGAACACCACCTCTTGTATCAGAATATTCAAAGACTAAAGGGCAGAAAATAAGGTGGTAGAAACCAGGAAAAAGTGACGTTAAACTGTTCAAACGGGCAACATTAATGAAATTCACTGTTCCTGCTGCTGTAGTTCTAAATTTTAATAAATTCATTTTTAATTCAAAATTTGATCTTTGTCTGCTGTCACTTAGGCCACATTGTTGCCATAGCAACACACAATTTGCTCCTTTCGAACGATTATGCATGCTTGAAGTATAAAGATTACGCAAGCAATTCTAGTTAAAAAAAAAATCCCCATTTCACATAAATAGCGAAATTTAGTGTCATTGCGAAGACCTTAATTTCGCTGCTGTCCCTTTACAACTGTAGGGAACCACTTTAACCAAGAACAATTTAAGTATGATGATTTAAGTAAGCACTTCCAAGCACTTTCAAGTTTTGTGCGAAAATAAATACCAATTACCTCTGTCAGGAAGTTGTGATCTCATCCGCTTTTGTACAGTATGTGTATGTCTGTGGGTGTCCGGATCCCTGTCTGTCTGTATGTTTGTCTGTCAAGACAGTATCCCAACGACAGTTCCCCCAGAGACTTGGGGGAAACCAGGAGAAGTTCAATTTTCTGGACTCCACGTTAAAGAGGACTCCAAATAATAAAATTGTGAATAAACTACGGAACGCTAACAAATTATTTCTCAGAACGCCAATATTTAATTTTACTTTGGCTTCCTGAGAAACAATTTGCCGTAGTTTATTCACAATATTATTGTTATTTCGGGTCCTCTCTCTGGGTTCCTCTATAACCTGCACGGAGCCAAGGAAATGTACCTCCCCTTCCCCGCCCATCTGGCTAGCACATATGTACATCACATGCGTAACTTCAGACAGTCATTTCTTAATGAATTTCTAAATGGAAATTGCGAGTGGAAGGAGCAGTTGCAAAAATTGCAAATATCGGTCCTCAGGCAGGAACGGAACCCGCAAATTAGGTATAATACCACTTTGGTTTTCCTAAAACATTGCTATTGGTTAGTTGGGCAAAAATACAATACACACGTGACAGTGAAGGACCATATTTATGAATAAACGTTGACTAACATAGATAATGAGTTATTTTGTTATTCTGATGAGTTTCCAAACCATCTATTCTATTAACTATGAACTAACCAATATGAATGTTTTACGAAAGTCAACTATCCGTGACTCGAACAATAGGGAAACTGGAAATTGCTATTGGTGGATTTGCTAAAAATACAATACACACGTGACGGTGAAAGGACCAGATCTATGAATAAACGTTGACTAACATAGATAATGAGTTATATTGTTATTCTAATGAGCTTCACAGCTATCTTCCCTTTGATAGGCTATGATTAAAGTCAAGGTGATTATTAAAAATAATCACCTCGGTACATGAAAGAAAACCGACTCAATCAATTTACAAACACTTTAAATTTCAAAGCTGACTTGTGATTTTTCATGGCGGTCGTGGGCCGCAAAATACACGACGTTTGCTAATTGCTAAATACCGCCTAGTCGGTTGAAACGATTTTTAAATCCATATACGCGATGTTGCCAATAGTATCGCTAAAGTGACGGGGGAGAGGGTCAACTCTAAAACAAAACACAGTTATCAGAGAGAGTAGGTGGCAAATATGTAGGGTTTCGTGTCATATTCTCACTCCAGCATAAGCATCAACACATTTGAGGTTGACCCCCCGTCGGATCAATGCATAATGCCGCAGTGAAAACCAAGAATACACATCGCTAAATCTAAACGGCCAATACACGAACTCATTGTCGCTGCTTAATTAAGGCTAGTTTCCACTCAGGAAAATTATTCGTGGATTGGAACGGACAAGAATATTTTTCTTTGTATTAAAGTCATTAGTTCCAAACCAGAGCTCACAAGAAAAAGAGAAGTTTTCTTGTCTGTTCCACTCAACGGATAATTTTCTTGAGTGGAAACTAGCCTTTACTAAATAGTGAGACGTCAAATGCGAAACGATTTTTTGCTTATAGTAATTGCATATAGCATCAAATCACCTTTGCAACTGGAGTGTATTGCACGAATTCATTATTATTAATTCATTCATTATTTGAATATCACTATAGAGCGCTTTTCGATTGACTTTTTCCATTCGCAGATTTTAGATTCAAACTTTATTACGCTGAACGCTAACGTTCACAACCTGTAGTATTGTGTCAATTCAGTTGATCAATTGTAGAATTTGAAAATTTATGTCTAATCATTATCCAACAAAATTACTTTATAAATTTGAGTTGCGAAATTTATGAGCCAAAGTTATTCATGCGCATCGTCTGTGCATGGACAGTTGACTGTATTATTCCCTGTAGAAGTGTACGTTTCTTTATTTTGCATTGAATTGCTAGGACAATAATTATTTATATATTTAATAGACAGTTCAGTCTATTCTACTTAAATTTAGAAAGTTCTTCAACAATCCTTCGAGCATAGCTAGGTCGTAGGTTATATATGGACTGATAGCCGAGAGCTTAAATTGCTCCATACTGATGTTTATCAGTTGCAGCCGGAGAACGTCAGTCTCTTATATTTCACCAAGGCTGGGTATATGATCTACCATCTTTTCACTTGTATTGTGCTTATAAGTGAAACACAAATAATGATGGAACAGTTGAATATTTTGTTAAAAGATATATATTTTAGTGATTCCATGCATTCACAGCTACATGTTATGATTTGACTGCAATTCAGGCGCTGTCGAAACTTCCAAAAATTAATTGGCGAATATAGTCTTCAGACATTGGTGCATGGGAAGTTATTTTCACTGCCACTCTGATCTTCTGAGAATTTAGTACACTGCTTCACTTGTTGAACTATCAGGGTTATAGAAATGGGTGATCGGAGTTATTATTGGCGCAGGTAATTAATTAAATATTAAAACAGTAATAAAATTTGGACTTACCACAGTTGACGAATGGTGACTTTTAGGTAATCTTTGAAGATTCTGCAAGAAATTGATGCAAACGATTTCAGATGTATTTTCGTTCTGATACACGACCTTAATTAGTCGTGTTATATACTATGTTCAAACAGGTTTGACTACCTCAAGGGCGTAGTCGTAGGATCTTAATAAAACCATAACAATTTAAAGAAACCGGTTCAAAATATTTTAACTGGTTCAATACATCACGTGATTGAGGGGCGTCTGTGAATATTTCATGCAACAGTAACGAGATAATTGGTTTATTCTAATATTTTACTTAACCAGTGATATTGTTTTGACACATTTGCATTTTTTTATTCCACGTATATCAGTCTAACATTCCAAGGACCAACTAGGACTTAGTCTCATATCGAAAGAATATCTTTAATTAACAATTAGTTAAATTAAACTTCATTGACGTTTGAAGGAATTTTGTAAAATAATATTTAAAGTAATTTTGTAAAAATTTGCATTTAAGTTGTATTATGTGTATGGTTGTATGGCAACAATGTGAGGTCTGCCTCCAAGAGCGCTTCTTTTCAGCGAAATAACACTTAGCCGGGCCTTTAAAAAAGCCAAGTGGTTTCGAGTAGGCTCCTAGCTAGCCCTCTTTGTAAATAATATTACATATTATGCTTGTGATCGATGTTACTCTGAGTGTATATCCACACCGCGGGCAAGCTTGAAAAATATGCCTGGCCACGGTGGAAATCGAACCTACGACCTTTGGAATACTAGCCCAATGCTCTGCCAAGTGCCAACTGAGAGTACGCGGTCAGGTCGGTTCGAGTATGAGATATTTCGGAACTGAGTCTATAGCTAGTTCCTTCGATATCAGTGTAATATCCTTCGATATCGAAGGAAATAGCTATAGACTCAGTTCCAAAATATCTCATACTCGAACCGACATGACCGCGTAGCTCAGTTGGCAGAGCATTGGGCTAGTATTCCAAAGATGATATTAATATTGTTGTTCTACTTATTGTAATATATTGGGCGAATATTAAATAATAACATAAATAAAATGCGAACATTTTCGCCTGAAATATATTAACTCTTCGAAGATAACGGTTTCAGACGACTGACTTAGTTGCATGATTTTCTCTTCGCGCTATTCTCTTGGAGGAAAATTTTGCTTTGCCACCAAGTTGTAGTCAATACTACTCAACGCGATACGGCAAGTTAGAAGATTCAATATAGAATCATTCATGTGAACCATGCCCACCGATACTTCGCAGACAAATTTATCAACATAATGAAGTCAGCATATTGCACCTTCAGACCGGCTACCGATTTATCAGTGGAGCACATCTGTACGTATGACTCGTACCTCCAAGGGAATGTCTCATAAATTAATTATCAATGTTTTCAAAACATCGAATCTACAGTGACATTGTTTAGCAAACTGGGGCTAGTCACTCATGACAACCAGACAAATCAGTACTATACAACCCGCACAATAAATTGTTTTCTTGGATTTTTAGCTCACAATAATTATTACAATGACTATTTCTCTTACACCTGAAACTCATAAACTCATATAATAAAGTTGTTTTGTGCCAATTTGTTGACAAATGCTTCACCCACAACGCGAAAGTTATCCGAAGTATTAGAGTTATTAACCTCAAGTACTATTGTTCCGAGTAAACTGGGAAACGACGGTTTTTTGAGGCAGTTTGCGAGTGACAGTTTGTCAATCACGAGGTACATGTTTGTATGCCACGCGCGGTCAGTCAATTTGTTACAGCCGGCGTGTGAAAAACTACAAGTTTCAATTTAATAATCTGACGGTTAAGTGCATTTCCTAATTTTATTATCAGGAGCAACTCTCTCTACTCAACTCTCAATTTAGTTAAACGTAAGCGACGTTAGAGACGAGTGAGGCAAGGTTAATGCAACAAAATGTATGGAATATCTGCGTTTAATGGACCTTTCACCTTTTGACTAAAATTTAAATTTCAACAAGTCTAGACAAAAATTTTATCACAGCTTGAAAGAGCATCACAAAATTAGTAATATTCCAAAGTTTCGTTGCGAAATGTTGTAAAATGCGGATAATATAGCCTTGCAAAGTTTGCAATTTTCAGTCATTTTGTATTACAAACGGGAAATACATACCCTTTTTCCGAAGGAGGTACCCAGCTAACACAATTACGTTTTAAAAACGTCGTGGAAACGTTGGACTTACGTTATATGAACGTTCTGGGACAACGTTGTGACAACGAAAATTCGTAGACAGCAGAAAACGTTATCGCAACGTTGTAGCTAACGTAGCGAGAACGTAACTTGAGCGTTGTCAAAACGTTTCTAACACGTTATAAGGACGTCCAATTTTAACTTTGTGAAAATGTGGTAAAAACGTTGTGGGAACGTTATGACTTAACGAAAGCATCAAGGTACGTTTACACACATGATTTGTCGGCCGATTCAGCTTTAACTATATGATATTTGAAAAAAATGGCAGCATTCGTTAAAACCTTAAATTGGCCAGATTATAATCCCTGTGTGTACACGTAGCTTAACACAGCTTAATTGCACCAGAACCATTGCGTACTTTAATATTCTTTCGCGAATTTTCTGACTACGTCGGCAAATTCGAGAAAGGAAATTAAAACGGGAAATGATTGTTGTTGTAATAAACGCGGTTGTTAAGAATATTAAAATAAAGTAAACATAAATTTTTCTAAATATTTATTGACACAAAATGTTAAATGACTTCACATTAACTATTTACATAAACTTTAAGAACTATTAATAAATACATTAGTATATAAGGAAAGAATATGCACAACATTAAAAATTACTTGATCTACCAAATGATCTATCAAATATCATCCTTTTATACAATCCCGGCAACGTTCTATTACATTCGAAAAAAAATTATATTCGATTAATTATGAAATGGGTTTAGCCAATACTGCATTCTGATTGGTTAGCTATACTGGCTATATATCAACATCTAGCTGTAACATTATGATTTTATGAACTGAAAACTTGATTAGTGATACGTCCATTAGAAAAAAACTGGAATTGGCTGGGGAAAATGGTATAAAAACTGTTTAAGACCTTCAGAAAATATATAATTTATGTACAGCTCATTCAAAAATAGGTTTTCCTTTGAAAACCTTCAACTCAAAATCTTAAAACTTAAGCAGTATGGCGAAAGCGTCGTTTTTGGGTGTGGTCAGTTTCGGACGTTTCGCCCCGGATTGGGGTTCGGGCAACGTTACCATGCTGACCGTCATGGTCAACTTGCCCAAAACATTTGAGATTATCTGTCCTAAATGAAATGCATACAAACTCATATACAGGTTCTAGACTACTTTAACAAATGCTTTTGCAGGTGCATCACAGACAACACACCTGAGAGAAACTTTAAGAACCTTTGAACCGCAACTTAAGCCTTGCTTTAACACCATATTCAGATCTCTCACAGTATCATGAAGAAAATCTAAATTCTTAGGTTTTGACTTCCCATATGTTAAAGCAATTGGGAATATTCTAACTGGGGTAAGGTTCATAATATCACAGAGAACTGGCCATAAACTACTTTGTGAACTTTTGAACAAAGGAATGCCATCAATGTTCAAACTTATCTCTAAAGTATCAACAGAGTCTTTAACACTGTCTGGATAAGACTGGAAATTCTCCAAGAGTGCCTTTTCCAATGGGAAGTAAACATACTCCATCTCAGACTTATGGCCAATAGAAACAAGCCTTGGTGTAGCCAATAAAGCCCTGGCAGTGCTTGGCAATTCAGAATGGCCAGACTGTTTAAGTAATTTAAGGAGCCCATCAACTGCATTGTGTTTTACTTGAAAGTTATTCACCCAAGTTACTAACTCATCTTTCAAACTGTAATTTTCTAATTGATCAGAATCGTCAGACAAACAAGAATTATCACTGATGCTGTCAGTGCCTGAAACACTGTGGTGAGCAGGTGCGTTTGTGCAAATTTCATCTATGTCAATTGTTTCTTCAATTAATATCACTGTTTCAATAATCAATTTTACAGAAAAACCTTCTTATGAAGTGTAGACCCTAAGCAACCTAAAAATGTCAAATATTCACTTTGATCTATCATTGAAACTTTTGCAAGGGGAGGTGCATGACTTTTTAGGGGAAGTGCAAAAATTCCCAGGGAAGGCGCAAAACAATATCAGGGGAGGTGCGCCCCGCAAAATCCGGCCTTGGTTTGTCTCACATTATGACATCACCCTGTGTATCTATAACTGAACAGACAATGACAAAATCTTAATCTATTTTTTTAATTAAACATATATAATTATATAGAGAAATTCAATCTAACCCAACTTACACTAAACTCTTTAATAAGCATTACAAGTTGCAAACCTACAATTTACCATTTACAATCGAGGCCATATTTCAACTTAATAGGTGGAGAATTTGAAATAAAGTAGAATAAATTACATTTGCATATTTAAGCAGTAGTGCACCTTCCTTTGTTACTTTACTCTTCCTGACACAAAACTTTTTTTACTCTGATCGACACAAAAGACTCATTGCTTTGGGCAATTTGTTATTTGATGCTTGTGATGTTACTCTGAGTGTGTATCCACATCGGGCAAACTTGAAAAATATGCCTGGCCACAGTGGGAATCGAACCACTACAACATTTGGAATACTACCCAATGCTCTGCCAATTGAGCTATGTGATATTTCGGAACAGAATCTAGTTCCTTTGATATCAATGTAGTCTAGTAATCATAATTTTTTCTGTGGTGGTGTAATGTACTCAGGTGAATATGATGCTTGAAAACACATGAAATTGCTTGATGCTTTGTAAACACATGAAATTAAACCTTAATTTTACTCGGCCCCATGCAATCACATATACAAATTTGAATAAAAATCCCAGTATGTATACAAATAAAGTATTCAAATACTGCGGATTCAGGTTGAGTGTTTAATGACGTCACGATTACGTGAACATTGAAACAGAAAAACACCTGTAGGTGTCGACAAGTGACAAATTAC